ACTTTTGTTTCTTTATTTTTTTAGTGTTATGTTGTTTTTAACTGATGCATCATAATTCTACATATTTATGGAGTACAGTGTGATTTTTCAAGACATGTATATATTACACAATGATCAATTAGGGTAATAGCATAGCTATCACCTCAAATGCTCTTGATTTTTCTGTGGTAGGATCATTAAAAATCCTCTCTTCTAGCTATTCTGAAGTTTTAGAAACATTGTCAACTATAGTCACCCGACGGTGCAACGAAACAAGAGAAGTTACTCCTTCTAACTGCAGCTTTGTACCCACTGACTAACTTCTCACATCCTCCCCTCCTGACTCCCCCCAGCTCTGGTAACCACTAGTCTACTCTACTTCTATGAGGTTGTTTCATTTTTAAATATGGGAGCAGGGGCTGTGCTTTCTATTTCAACTGCCGGCTACAGAACTAAGCACCAATTTTTTAAATTTTTCACAATAATACAAAAGATAACGTGACAGCACTGAAAACAACATTGTACCTTTAGAAAATATAAGCAATTCTCTAAATGTATCTGGGTAACAGTACTGGCTGAGATGTAATAAGAATGTAAATCAATTAACAGTCTATGCAAAAAAGAAAAGGCAAAAAATGAGCCCCTGGTGTCACATCTGGGATGAGAGCGGAAAAGGAGAGGGCGAAATGAAGGGGGAAAAAGTAAATTGGCCAAAGTCCTTGCAGCTCATAACCCCATGGTTAGCTGCCAAGCCCAGTAATTCAAAAAAGAGTCTCTAATAAGGTCTCCCCTGACTTCTCCCAGAAGCTTCAACTGCAACATGGTTTATTTCAAACAGGAGATCACCAGCCTGTATTCCATCCTTTTGGTTCTTAGTACCAGCCACAACCCAGAGAAGTTGCATGTCAGAGGCTGATGGGACAAATGTAGCTGTTGCTGAAGAACAAAGAGCCTCCAGTTTGTTTTTATCTCATCTTACATAGAGCAATGAAAAGTGGCCAAACTTAAAGTTTGCAGTATTTCAAAGAACTGACCACTTGCCTGACCCAGACATAGACGCTGGGGATGTTATGGTGAATACGACATGTTCTACATGTTTTCTATCCTCAGGGGCTCCCAGGCAGGCAAGGGAGGCAGTCATCAAAACAGACACGTACAGTCACATGTTACATAACAATATTTTGGTCAACTGTGGACCGCACGTACAATGGTGGTCCCATAAGACTATAATGGAGCTAAAAAATTCCTGTGGCCTAGTGACATTGTAGCTGTCATGACATTGCAGCACACTCGTGTGTCTCTGGTAATGCTAGTGTAGACAAACGTACTGCACTGTCAGGTATATAAAAGTATAGTACATATAATTATGTCCAGTCCACAGTTCTTGATGATGACAGTAAGTGACTACGTCACTGGTTTACATATTGACTATGCTTTTCATCACTTTTTTTAGAGCACACTTCTAGTCATTAAAAAAGTTAACCATAAAACAGTCTCTGGCAGGTCATCCAGGAAGTATTTCAGAAGACGCCAATTTCATCTGAGGAGAAGACAGCTCCACACATGGTATTACCCCTGAAGACCTTCCAGTGGGACAGGATGTGGACATGGAAGACAGTGGTATTGATGATCCTGACCCTGTGTAGACACAGGTTAATATTTGCGCATGTGCCTTGGTCTTTTACCAAAAAAATCAAAAATCAAAAATATTAAAACTAGAAAAAAGCTTGTAGAATAAGGATGTAAAGAAAATATTTTTGTACATATGTACAATATATTTGTGTTTTAAGGTAAGTGTTATTACAACAGAGCCAAAAAGTTAAAAAATGAAAAGTTTATACAGTAAAAGGAAGTTACAGTAAGCTAATGTACCATTGAAAAAAGAAATTTCTAAATAAATTTAGCTTAGCCTAAGTGTAATGTTTATAAACACTGTAGTAGTGTAGTTATGTCCAAGGCCTTCACCTTCACTCACCACTGACTCACTGACACCCACTGCAAGCTCCATTCATGGTAAGTGCCCTGTACAGATGTACAAGTTCTTATCTTTGATACCATATTTTCACTGCGCCTTTTCTATGTTTAGATATGTTTAAATCACAAATACTATTGTATTACAGTTGCCTATAGTATTCAGTACAGTATATTCTGTACGGGTTTGTAGCTTAGGAGCAATAGGCTATGTCACACATCCTAGGGGTGCAGTAGGCTACACCATCCACATGTGTGTAACTACACTCTATGACATTCACACAACAATGAAATCACCCAAGGATACATTTCTCCAACCATATCCCCATCATTAAATGGTATGACTATAATGATTATCCAATGAGTTGTGAGATGAAAGAGATAAGCTAGGCACACCAGGCCTGCACTGCCAATAACATCTATCCCAGCAGGAAGGATTTCAGACATTATGGCCTGGAGGCAGTGAAGCATGACATGACATGATTATCATCAGATGGTTTCACTTTCAATTTACAATTGTTTTAAGATGAAGGTCCTCATCCTAGAGCATTTATAGCAGATGATGGCATGGATGCGTATTGCTTTGCTTGCCAACCTTGCTTTCCTTTTAAAAAACAGTGCTTTCTTCCCAAGAGAACTGCTCTTTCTCTCCATTCCGACCATGAGGTTCTAGCTAATCCCCATACTCACCTTCCTTGTCCCCATTGATTAGTCCAGGGTGCACCCATTCAATTTCATTCCTGAAACTGTTTAAGTTGGGCCTAAGAGAGAGGGACATTCCTTCTGTGGTGACAGGTCATAAAGCAAGAAGACTGGAAGGACCATTTTCCCTTATGTGGAAGTGGTCCTCTTGGCCCTCCTCTCCCCAGATCCTAGTTGCCTCTGAGGCCTCACTGCACCATTCCCATTCTGTCACTATGTGAAATATCACAGCATCCTTCCAGTAAAGTCCTCTTTTGGCCAAAACTAGTTCAAATTTGGTTTCCATCTCTTGCAATCAAAACTGAGTAGCAGTTTTGCACTTGCAGTGACTTCTTGACATGTTAATCTTTGTCTTGAAGTTACATTTTCCCTCTCACCGCCCCCACCTCATGCTTTCTGAGAAGAGCTAGCCGAATCTCCATGTTGTCAATTTTCCTTGTTCTATCTCAGTCTATTCACACTTTGAACACTTGGCCAACGCTCTTTGCTTCCCCATTAGCAGTGCTTCTAGTTGCTCCCTACCTACATATCCTGAAAGTCAGCTCCCATTTAAAAATATATTAAAGTGCTGTCTACCAAAGCCACCACCAGAGAATCCTCCTGAGTAGATCAAGAGTGGGGCCCAGGAATCTGTATTTTTCACAAAATTCACACTGGTTGATTCTGATGTGCAGCCAGGTGGAGGCATCATTAGGCCAAATGACTCATAAAACCTATCCATTTGTTTGTTTTTCCTTTTTACTTCTTCTCAAGCTTTTATTTTAAGTTCGGGGGTACATGTGCAGGTTTGTTTACACAGGTAAATGTGTGTGTCCTGGGCATTTGTGCAGATTATTTCATCACCCAGGAATTAAGCCTCATACCCATTAGTTATTTTTCCTGATCCTCTCCCTGTTCCCACCCTCCACTCTCCAAAACCTATCAATTTCAAGAGTACATGAATGTCCTACTCAGGAGTACAAATGAACTGTTCCAGCTCTACTTAAGTTTGAGTACTACTCAGTCCCATTTACCTCAAAGAAAGCAGAACTATTGGCGGTTTGGAAGTGTGTCACAGTGGTTTCAGGCTGCCAAGAGAATTACCTTGAAGGGGCTGGAGGTGACTTCATCGTCTGCAGGTTTTGCAGAGGTACATCTGGCCCCTACCACACGCTGCCTTTGATTTCCTTCATGCTGGGGACAGATGATGTAGAGGTCATTTGTTTCTTTTTAAACTCGAGAATTACATCACAGGCCTGTAAAATTTTTCTTAAAAAGTGTGTGTGTGTGGTTTGTTTGTTTGATCCAAAGCAGCTATCCCCAAAAGAGTTCTCCTAGGGTCAGCAGCAATGTTGAAATATGGGGGGAAACTGCTCTAAATCCTTCAAGTAGTGTCACCTTTGGAGCAGTAAAACTGCTCTCTCTTTCCCATGAGAGAAGACAAGCATGCCCCAGCAACCATTTTTTGAAAGCGGATGCCCGGTGGGAGAGGGATTTGATTTGCTGAAGGGTCAGCCAAGTCAAGCAAGTTCCTTCCTCACTTCTCTGGCTGGAGGAGGTTTTGATGGTGGTGATGGAGGCTGAACTGAACCCGCTAAGGAAACTCTCAAAGGCTTCTGGACTTTCACATGAGCTGTCTCACATTTGGCCGACTACAGCAAGTGCTTCAAGGCTTTCTTCTGCCAAAAAGATTTCTTTGTTTTATTTTATGATGTTTTCTTTTATTTTCCTTTTATTGTGTTTTACTTTTATTTCTAACAAACCTGTGTAACTTGGGGCTTAAGGCTCAGAGAAGCTGAAGGATTAGAGTCAAAAGAATTTTGCCATTTGGTCAATAGCATCCCCACATCCTGATAGAGAGATTTCTTTTTCTAGGTTCCCTTCCCCCTGTCACTACTCCTCCCCCCAACACACAAACAGACACACACACACACACACAAACACACACACACACTTTTCTTTCTCCTCTTTCTCTCCTTCGCTTCCTCCCTTCTCTTCCCTCCCTCTCAACACATTCAATGAGTGCCCTAAACGGTGACAAACTTGCATGTGCTTCCCTTATGACTAAATCCCTGGGCCTTCTGCCAATCCCCCACAGATGGCCCCAAACTGCAGGCATCCCATAAGGAGACCCCATGCTTTCAGTCCTTGTCGGAATGGTCAGGGTGGAAGAGGATGGTGGGGAATGGTGGTGTCTTCGTCCTGGGAGAAAGCGAAGCAACTTCTAGGAGGAAACGGGCGTTTCCTTCCCACGCGCTCTATCGAGCCCTGGGTCCTGGCCTCGGAACTCCACCCAGCCCCTCCCTGCCCTCTGGGAAAAGCCAGTCGCCACACACAGGCACACTCAGGCCCCGGCGCCGCGCCCTAAGGAGAGCAGCACCCACAGCCAATTGCCATGGCAACCCCAGGGTTCGTTCCACTTCCCCACCCAGCCGATCTCCCCCCTCCTCCCTGCACTGCAGCCAACCGGCTTGTGCGAGTCCCAGGAGCGCACTATAAAACCTGTGCTGGTGGCGCTGGGCGTGATCGGCAAGCGCCGGACCAGGGGGAAGGCGAGCAGTGCCAGTCTGCAGCGAAGAAAGTTTCCTTTGGTAGAAGCGAGAGGGAAAAGCCTGAGTATGCACAGTGTGCAGAGCACGAGCCTCTGTCTCCGAAAGCAGTGCCTTTGCCTGGCCTTCCTGCTTCTCCATCTCCTGGGACAGGTAAGCGGTGCACCCTTAAGATGCCCCAAGTTACTTCGCCTTTCTGGGTGGCCCCCACTTGGTCACTGGGCTCGCTGCGTCTTCTGTCCCCGCTGAGGGGTTTCTCCTTCTTGTCTCGCATGCCTTCAGGTCGCTGCAACTCAGCCCTGCCCTCTCCAGTGCCCGGGCCAGTGCCCCGCGACGCCGCCCACCTGTTCCCCCGGGGTGCGCGTGGTGCTGGACGGCTGCTCCTGCTGTCTGGTGTGCGCCCGCCAGCGTGGCGAGAGCTGCTCAGATCTGGAGCCATGCGACGAGAGCAGTGGCCTCTACTGTGACCGCAGCGCGGACCCCAGCAACCAGACTGGCATCTGCATGGGTAAACCTGCCCCTCCGCTATTGGCCCTCTTCTCCTGCAGCTAACTGAAGCTGCTTCCTCCCTTCTTTCTTTTTTCCTCCCCTTTCCAGAGGGCAATAAGTAAATATTAATAATGCAATAAGTGTGTCAGGAGCACTTACTGTGTATCAGGCATGGTTTGGGGAGCACCAGAGCCAGAAAGGAAACCTGCCCTGGGGGGTAAGAGGCATTCCTCACTTGGCTTCCTAGACAAGAATCTAAGCAGAGGGGAGCCACGCAGAGTTAAGGGCCAGTGAAGTCATTTCCTTCGGACATTTCTAGGGGGCTGCTTGGGGCTGATGGAAGCTTGAGTTTACTCACAGGCTCACAGTTTCCCCAACTGCAGTTGGGGAAAACCCAGCAGGTTTGTTTTCACACCTGTAATTGTCCCATTTTAACCAAAGCAGCCTAGTCTCCTGGGACAACTATGTAACCCTTCTCTGGATACAAGTAAAATAAAATGCAGGTGCCAATCCAGGCTTCTAAAACTTAATCAGGGATCAATTTTTCACATGGCACAACACTGAAGCTGGAGATTGTCCCTTCCTTTCTGGACAGAAAGGCTTTTACTTTTTTCTCTAAGCTACTGATGATTTATTATGCTTCAGTGCCAAGGAATCTTAATGCCCTTCCCAATTTCATCAGCTAACCTGTTGGAAAATATAAAGTACACTTTTTCTCTTTTTAAAAGTCTAAGCTGCTGGAGTAGGAGACTCCAAGGAGGTTCTTGCAAAATGACTGAACATTGGGAACAATGGCCAGGGCGCTTTGGGGTTATCACTTCACAGTTGCACACCTCTTTCTTCATCCATAAAATGAGTGGCAAGACTAGATGATCTTGAAGATTTCTTCTTTCTCTAAGAGGCCTCCAGGAGGCCATCACTCTATGGTGGATACATAAGAAACCAGATCACCTGAACTAGAAAAGGACTTGGGTTTTGGAACATGTCTTCCAAATCTTACAAGCTTCTTCACTGTATCGTGTTCTTGTTTTTCCTCCTCCTCTTTGCTTTCTTTGCTTCCCCAATATATTAGCGGTAGAGGGAGATAACTGTGTGTTCGATGGGGTCATCTATCGCAGTGGAGAGAAATTTCAGCCAAGCTGCAAATTCCAATGCACCTGCAGAGATGGGCAGATTGGTTGTGTGCCTCGCTGTCAGCTGGACGTGCTACTTCCTGAGCCTAACTGCCCAGCTCCAAGAAAAGTTGAGGTGCCCGGGGAATGCTGTGAAAAGTGGATCTGTGGCCCAGATGAGGAGGATTCACTGGGAGGCCTTACCCTTGCAGGTAAGAAACTCAATATACTTAGGGCTGGTCATAGCAGAAGGTAAATATAAGCATGAAGAATTTGCCATCTCTTAGATTTGAAAAAAAAAAAAACTGGCCTCAGTTTCTGGTCATTATTTTGGGTTCCAGGTTGCCCACTGAGATCAAACAGATTTGTAGACATGAGATCAAACATATTTATAAACTCCAACTAAGTGTAGAAGTTTGCCCCAATTTCTCCTAAAGAGGACCTCCCAAATTCACTCTGTCTTATTTTTGTCTCATTGGATGACCAGTATTTGTATTTTAAATCCCACTTGACCCTCATTAGCACTACAAAGACAACATTTTAAATCCTCTTTCTTTTCTGGATTTGCTACGTAGTCTGCCTCATGATTAAGGCTACTCATCTCTGGACGGGTGTCACTGAAAAGTGTCATCTTTCTAGATGCTGCAGGAAGGTTCAGATGGCACTACAGGGCCTTTTTTATTCTTCTATTTTCTTATATCGATGAAACAGTTTTTTAAAATTTCAAGAGATAGTAGAGGATATGTTAGAAGCCATTAATTGCCCAGATTACTTACATTAGCAGTCTCCAGAATTTTATACTATTTCTGAGGGCAGACATTATCAGCCATGCCAGAAATTAATTAATTCAGTTCCATGTCCTGGGAGCACTGGTGTTTAGTAGGTGCAGAGTTGAATGAGACCCACTTTCTAATAATGATGACTGAAAAGAACAACTTTCCAATCCTCACATTTTACCCAATATGGCTTCTCTTATTTATCTATCCCATAGCTTACAGGCCAGAAGCCACCCTAGGAGTAGAAGTCTCGGACTCAAGCGTCAACTGCATTGAACAGACCACAGAGTGGACAGCATGCTCCAAGAGCTGTGGCATGGGGTTGTCCACCCGGGTCACCAACAGGAACCGTCAATGTGAGATGTTGAAACAGACTCGGCTCTGCATGGTGCGGCCCTGTGAACAAGAGCCGGAGCAGCCAACAGATAAGGTAGGAGCCTGGAGAAAACCTCCCATCCCAAAGGTGATGGCCTTGTTTCCTTGGAGCTGGGGCTTCAGAAAGTCACTGTGCCACTCTGTGATGGAGAGAGCAGCTCTAGCTAGGAATTAACCCCAGAGAAAAGGCAGTGGGGTTCCTGAAGCCAGCCTATCTTCTTTTTTCTCTTTATCATATTGAAATACTCCAAAATACTCCAAGCAGCCCATAGTGTCCCCTCAGGTAAAAGAGGGAAGGGCCGGACAACTATAATTCTTTTCCCAATGGAGAACCGTCTAGCGAATCCCATTCCATTCCTGGAGAAAACTGGCTACCCAACTGTCAAGCACAGCTGCTTCTAGAGAGATCCATTCTGATCTCAGTTCTCTTTACTCCTGAGGTTTGATCTGTATGGAACAACAAGGTAGAGGCCACATGCATCTTATCTCTCAGTCCTCAGCTCTCTAACTGGCACATATTGTATGCATGATAAACAACTATTGATAAATAAGTGAGTGACTGTCTGGGAATTGTTGGTATTTTTTAAAACCTAGTGGAAATAATACATTTGCCAGTATAAGGCAAAATGGGCCAAATACAACAGAACATATCTTTTTATTTTTTGCCGGAATTATATCAACTAAGTATGTTAACACTGAATGCGAGACATGCAGATCAGAAGGTATGATTGGTTGCTGATGACATCATAGGCCTTGTTACCAGAGCCGTATATCAGATAAATGCAATACTCAGTTTGAACCATTATATGGATCCTTATACAAACCTAAGATTAAAATAAAATAGTCCTTAGCAATTCAAGATTTACATCTCTTGGCACTGAAACAATATCATCTAACGTGTAAGAGGACAACTGTGGAGCCAGACAGCTTGACTTTAAATGCTGTCCTTCCACATGAACTAGCTATGTAACCTTGGACAATTTTCTTAATTTCTCAGACTCAATTTCTTCTCCCACATAATGGGGCTGCTGAAAGTACCTACCTTAATTCAGTGTCATGATGATTAAATAGAATGAATTTGCAAAATGCTGTGTATAGACTAAGTAATCTGTTAACAGTAGCCACCATTACTTATAATTTCTATTTACTGGTAAAATAAGAGTCCCTAGTGGTTGCATTAGTTATAGGGCTGCTTAGCTATATAATTTTTTGAGGTCCATCCTAACTTTATGTTTCTTCAACCAATTTAGAAAGAACACCTAGAAACACCTTATCCCTAAAATTATATCCTGGAAGACGCACTTCCCCGCAGTCCAGGGAATTCAAACATACATATAACATAGTAATATAGGTTCACCACACAAGGAGTCTCACATACAAACACATACATACACACGGGAATGTTGTTATACTGTACCATTTCATGGGTGTTGACAACAATACATGCTAAATATTAAATGCAAAATAGTAAGAAAGAAGAAGTCCTTCAATATTTTCAATGGCAGAGTAACTTCTTCATTAAATAAGATGTTTCCATTGCATGCCTCTAAGATGTGGCTTTTTCTACTAGATTTTTCTTTTTTCAAAATGTGTAATTTTTTTGTAACTTGAATCTTCCTTAATATTTGGATATGTTATTTTTAAGATGTTTATTTATAGTATACATACTTTATAAATGTTGTAAAAATTTGTTTATAATTGAGGGAAATACTAGTATAACAATCATTACTTCCTTGTCTCCAAGAGACTCTTAAATCTGAGACAGTTGTCCCCAAACCAGCAGCATCATCTACGGACTTGTTAAAATTCCAATTTGTGGTGTGGGTCCCACATCAGATGTACTGAATCGAAAACTCTGGGTGTGAGGTCTGACAATTGGTTTTAACAAATCCTCTAGATGATTTTAATGTGCACTGAAGCTTGAGAGCCACTGATTTAAGATAATTCCAAATCTAATCACCCTATAAGAAGCAGGTCATGCCTATGAAGGTGAACAGTGATTAATTGTAGGAAATTAGTAGATGAAGAAATATAAGTAATAAATAAAACCTAATCAATTCTTTGCTGAATTATCAATATTGGGCCTCTTCATTTATCATTACTAATAAAATCTTGCATAAATTCCCCACTTTTTTGCCTTCATGAAAATTCCATGTCTTGGAATTTCCTGAGGTCATCATGTAATAAAAAGAATGGGCTTTGTATCAGACAAATTCAAATACTAGATGTTTTCTGGCCCCCTTAGCTCTTTGAGACTCAGTTTCTTCATGTAAAACTTGGGAAATTGTTCTTTTTACGAATGATTCTTCCTTGTATGAATGAATGCTGTTAATAAGGTTGAGTTAATGTCTGAAGAGTATTTGAAACATATAATAATGCCAGAGGTATACCCATTCTTTTTATAACACGTATTAGTCCATTTTTACACTGCTATGAAGAACTACCTGAGACTGGGTAATTTATAGAGAAAAGATGTTTAATTGACTCTCAGTTCCACATGCTGGAGAAACCTCAGGAAACTTACAATCATGGCAGAAGGTGAAGGAAAAACAAGGCACATCTTACATGGCAGCAGGAGAGAGAGAGAGACAGAGAGAGAGAGAGGATAGAGAGAGAGAGAGGAGGGAGAGAGAGAGAGGAGGGAGAGAGAGAGGAGAGAGAGAGAGAGGAGAGAGAGAGAGAAAGAGAGAGAGGGAGAGAGAGAGAACGAGAGAGAGAGGAAAGAGAGAGAGAGAGAGAGCCACACTTTTAAACCATCAGATCTTGTAAGAACTCACTCACTACCATGAGAACAAGGGAAAAATCCACCCCCATGATCTGAACACCTCCCACCAGGCTCCTCCTCTGACATGTGGTGATTACAATTTGAGATGAGATTTGGGTAAACCGTATCAAATGTAGAAATGCATTTGGCTAAAAATGACACCAAAGCATTTTACAGTGTCTTAAAAGATAGATTTTGTTATTATACATATGCTTTCATCTTCATGCTCATCTTTTCAATGTTAAAAGATGGTTATGTACAATTAGTCAAGGAGCTCACGTTCCAGAAAGAAAGGAAAATGAATCCAGGAGCAATAAAGAATTGCGTCTGCTCAAAGGGCAAAGGATTTCCCAGATTCCCTTGGCTTATGTAACTTTGGCCAGAACTTTGACACAAGGTTATCCCAAGTCCCAGATAGTCCCAGAAAGTCCCAAATACTTTTAGCTGACTACATTGCTCAAGCAAAATTAATGTTCTGAAAGCAAAGAAGAAAGACAAATAGATATTGAGTGGGCAACTAGCAGGTAATCCTATACTCTAAAATTGTTCCTCAGAGCAATGGTCGCCATTTAATACATCACTTCTTTTTCTATTTCTTAGAAAGGAAAAAAGTGTCTCCGCACCAAGAAATCACTCAAAGCCATCCACCTGCAGTTCAAGAACTGCACCAGCCTGCATACCTACAAGCCCAGGTTCTGTGGGGTCTGCAGTGATGGCCGGTGCTGCACTCCTCACAATACCAAAACCATCCAGGTAGAGTTTCAGTGCTCCCCAGGGCAAATAGTCAAGAAACCAGTGATGGTCATTGGGACCTGCACCTGTCACACCAACTGTCCTACGAACAACGAGGCCTTCCTCCAGGAGCTGGAGCTGAAGGCTAGCAGAGGGAAAATGTAACCTGTCACTCAATAAGCACACCTACAGAGCACCTGTAGCAGCTACGTCACCCACCATCAAAGGAATATAAGAGAAGTATTGAAGATTCACGGTTTCATCCTTGAATCCTATGTATTTTCCTAATGTGATCATATGAGGACCTTTTTAGCTGTCTTTTTATTTAATAAAAAATGTAATTAACTGTAAACTTGGAATCAAGGTAAGCTCAGGATATGGCTTAGGGATGACTTACTTTCCTGTGGTTTTATTTTAAATGCAAAGTTCTATAAATTTAAGGAAACAGGTATATAACCTACTTTGTAGACTGTATCACATTGCACTCATCATATCTTGTTGTGCACTAGTGCAATTCCAAGAAAATGTCACTGTAATGACTCAGTGAAGTCTAGAATCATACTGAACATGTCATTGTACAAGTATTTCAACCATATATTGAGCACATATATCGGGAAGATTCTCTATTGGCTCCCTTTTTGGCTAAGCCAGCTCTAAACTTCCAAGCTCCAGATCCAAGGAAACATACAGCTCTTCAACATGACATCCAGAGATGACTATTAATTTTCTGTTTAGTTTTACACTAGGAAACATGTATCTACAGTAATGAAATATTTGCTAAGTGGACTGTTGTCATAGACTTTCCCCATTTAAGATGGATTGACTCCTTTCCAATAGAAAGAAGCTAAACAGAAAACTCTTAATACAAAGATGACTGGTCCCTCACAGCCCTCAGACATTTATATACTGGAAGCCACTGAGGCCCCCAAGTTTTTTAATTTAGAAGAAACAGAGCATATTAGCAGGGATTCTCTCATCTTACTGATAAGTAAACTGAGGCCCAAAGTACTTGCTTACATCCTCTGATGACTGTTTCAAATGTGCATTTTGTGGAATTTTGAGAAAAAAAGGAGCAAAATGAACATGACTGGTGGTAAGAGACCATATATTTTATAGGAGTTTGGAATTATTGTAGACATGCCCAAAACTTATCCTTGGGCCATAATTATGAAAACTCATAATCAAGATACATGTGTATACATACATGTATCTGGTTTGTCAGGCTACCAGGTAGGCTACAAAATTAAATCTAGATATTTTTTTAATGCCACCACATGTGTTCCACTTTTCTACTTTGAAGTATTTATAAAAATATAAATTGTACATGTTGTAAAATACTGTTTGATTTCTCTACTTGTCAGATATCACTAAATAAACACGATTGTATTGCTGTGTGATTCTGTGTTAGTTTGTTACATAAAAGTTGAACATTGTTGTGTACTGAAAATAAAATTAAAATGTATGAATTAAACCAGAAATCAATCAATAGCATCTATTGAAAGCAAAATGAATATTTCTGGATAAGCTTACAACTTCTTATCAGAAGGGAAACAGAAGACAACTTTTACTGAGTTAGACGTTCCTCACTCTGCAGCCTCAAATAGCCTCCACACTAGTTGCTCAGACCCTCTTCTCAAGCCCTGATCTGTTTTTTCAGGATGGCCCACCAGACAACACCTATATATTGAAATTTAAACTTGTTATCTGACCAAACAAAACTCAGCTCTGTGACTTCCTTATCTAATCAAAGGGCAGTCCATCCTCCCAACTGCACAGCTTAAATGGCCAGCGCTTTCTTGATTATTATCTTGCCAAGTACCCAGAAAAGTGTATTTCCATTGATCATGGGGAGTTGCTTGACACATTGGGCTGCATACTGGGCAGTGTGAGAGTCACAATTAATAGAAGTTTTGTGTTTGGAAGCTTCTTGCTGAGGCAATGTGGCTCTCAAGTTCTATAATTTGTAAGAAAAAATCTTTTTAAAAGAGTTTTACTATTCCCAACTTTACTACCTGGGTCTGCTCCCTCCTTCCCACCCTTCTCTTTAGCTAGTTTCTATTTGTCCGTTAAGGTGGATTAGAAAGCAACTTTGCCTTCCAGGAGTTTATTCACAGGAAATTATCAAGGACAGCAAGTATTTTTGCATGCCAATATTGTGCTGAGAGCTGTACTTGCATTAAATTGTCTAACTGCACAAGAGCCCTATGAAGCAGGCATTCTTCATGTTCCCATGGAATGGATGAGGAAAACAAACAAACAAAAATGGTAAAAGAAACTGGTAAATCTAGAATTCAAACCAAAGTCCTTTTACTCTCTACCTGCTAACACATGGGTCCTGGCAAAGACGATCTATCTTCAAGACCGTTCTACACATATTGTTCATAATGGTAAAAATATATATATATACACAAACAAAGATTCCACAATGTAGCTTTGGCTATGTTAATTATAGTATACCCACTAGGATGAAAAACAAAGCAATCTTTAAACTGAGAACTTAAGAAAAGATATCAGAAAATACATCCCATGATTGTATAAAACTAGGAGAAGAGTGATTTGGTTTTGTTCAAAAGTATCTATGTCATGAATCGAAAGTGACCTAGGACAGAATGTGCAACAAAATATGATTAGTGATTACATCAAGCTAGTCTCATTTTTTTCCTTTTTTATCATTTCTTTACCAACTTTTTTTTTAAAAAATGAGAATATACTACCTTTATAACCAGAAAAACAAAAATTAAGGCTGATTTATATTCCTTCTGGCATAATTCTCCTTGCACCTCTATATACTCCTATAGAGATGGCTGCTCCTCCCAGCAGCCAACGCATTTGTTAAGTCATTCATTTTGTTCATTCAAAAAATACTTACTGATTGCTTCTGTGTGTCTAGCATTGTTTTAGACCCTGGGAACACAGCCATGAGTAAAATAAACAGTAAGAATAAACACGTTATCTCTTCTTCCTGAAATTTACATAACGCTGTCAGGAAAGGCAGGCAAAAAAGCAGCAAACAATCAAGGAAGATAAATTTCAAATAATGCATAAATAAATCTGTGAAGATTATCAAAACAGGGTGGTAACATAAAAAACTTCTGGGTGGCTAATTTAACTTGAGGAAAAGAAATTCTTTCTAAAGAAATGACATTTCACTGGAATGACAAGGAGAGAGAATCTTCCAGTGAGAAGTAACAGCTAGTGTAAATCAAAACAACACAGTGCCAGGGATAAAGTCAGAGTATTAAAGAAGATCCATGAGGCTAGAGTACAGAACGGGAGGAGAGGTGGGAGATGAGGTGTTTGCAGGGGCAAGAGTCTCAGGACTTGCCTCTATCATCAAAATTCTCACAGTATTTTACAATCGATTGTCTATATCCCCATTATGAGTATCTTGAGGCCAGCATTTGAGTTCTCTGCATCTGCCTAAGTCTCTGACACACAATAAGACCTCACTGTGCGCACCTGTTGAATGAATGAATAAATACATGAATGAATGGTCTCTGTATTGGCAAAAGGCAGGATGTTCTTTGAAATATATTTTAGGCTATCATTTTCATTATCACTATCACCTGGAGAGCTCTCCAACATACATAAACACACACGCACGAATTCCCAAAGTTATAATTAAAGGCAGTCGAAAAATGTGGTCTGATGTACAGATATTTGCAAATTTCAGAATGTTCTAGCAATACAACAAGACAAGAAATATTTACTGAGCAGAATTTAGGGCTGCAGAAAGAGCACAGGCTTGAGAATTATCCAAGCCTAGGTTTGAATGCCATGCCTACTCTTTCCCAGCTGTGGGATACTGGGCACACTGCACAGCCTCTGGAACTCAGTTTTCACATCTGTAAGATGAGACCATGTATGGATAGCGTGACCAACTCCTCCGGTTTATCTTGTTTTGGGACTCAGGACTTTTCAGTTATAAAATCAGGACAGTCCCAGGCAAACTGGGACAAGCTGGTCACCCTAAATATCAACCTCATAGTATCATAATATATATTCATAAGCACTTGACTGTACCTGGAACATAGTAGGCCTCCAAATGACAGCGGTTGATATAACTATTAAGTAGAGCCAAGCAGTGCCCTTTATTCTACACATTTAATGTTCAAAGATAGACGTTATTGACCTCATTTTTACTTGGAAAGATGAAGAAACTCAAAGTTAATGACCTATTAAGGACAGAGTAAATGAAGGAGCTAGGATTCAAACTCAGGGTCTGTCTGAGCTTAGAGCCAAAGCTCTTTCCTTTACACAGTGCCACAGATGCTGAGGCCAAGAATATTTTCAGCAACCAAAACAATTCCAACAGTTTCATTTTTGTGCTATTTTCCCAAACTATAAATGTTCTCTTTTAGTAACAGGATTGCAAAGTAGTGAGACTGTTGAGATCATTCTGTGAATGTCAGATTTTGAAAGCACTTAATTGCTGGTATAGTGATAACTCACATTTCATTGAAAATTATTTGGGGATTTTTCTTTTCTTTTTCCACACAAGGATTCAATTCAACAATGAGGCAAGAACATCTTTAACTATAAGAAGAACTAATTTGTTACATACATATCTGCACTTGATGAGATTATCAGTGAAGCTTTCGATGGAGATTTCTGGGCAGTACTAGATTTCTCTCACAATGTGTTCCTTGTAGGTACATGTTGTTATGCTTCCAAATGGGTTTCACTCCAAAATGTTCAACATCACAAGTCAAATTATCAAAACAGTATGTCCTTTTGGCTATGGGCTATAGGGCTTAGTTTGATGATCCAATATTGTTGGAAATGCATGCATCTTAACCATACTGTACAGTTCTTGCAGGCATTCTTATGCTGTCTGGACCACAGAGGGTTCACAAAATTCAATTACCACTTCAATAACACTTCTGGCACTTGCTGAACTCTGAATAATGAAGGATTATCTGCAGCCTTGCAGCTGAGGACCGTGAATTACTGTTACATTAAGCCAGCTGTTCTGGGGATAATCAGGAGGTACAAAGGGTAAGGATGGTTATGTTGTACCAGTCTTCCTAAAGAATGTGTGTCTTTCTCCTTGGGACTAGACAACAAAGGTCTGAATTTCAGCCCAGTATACAATTCCATTCCAATGACAAGGTTTCGCAGAATGAACAACCCACCAGTCCTACTGGAAGGAACTTGGCAACAAATACTTTATAATCCAAGCAGAAAATGTGGCTTGGACTTATATTTTATTAGCAAAATCTGAGAACCAGACTCTGCTTGTAGCATAGACTCAGAAGTTTGGAAGAAATTGCCAAGTTCTTAGCTTGGGTTAAATATGGGTCGGTATGCTCCAAGCTGACCCAGGTCTGTCCTGCTGAAGCAAGGCCACCTACAAGATCCTGGGAGGACTTTGACACAGGAGATGCCAGTAAGTGGGCATTCTAGTTCCTCTGTAAGTTGAACAGTGAGAATCTTCCCCAATAATTTGTAGAAAATCACAGCCCTCAGAAAAGAGGATAAAGATTACAAGGATCCTGTTGAATGTGCCATGTTATCTTCCCAAACTGCATTTCACGGTTCAAGAAACTGCTTTAAGTTCACCTTCTCTAAGAAGACTTCCTCACTGGTACCCTTTTGACTACCACAGGCCCGACCCTCCCTCTTTTGTAACCAGCTGCTCTTTGTAACAATCATAGTAGCTGAAACACCATAAAACACCATATCTCTGTTATTGATTGCAAGTCTGTTTCCCACTAAACCCTAAGCTCCATGAGAGCAAGGACCTTGTCTGGTTTTCTCACCACCGTTTTACACAGTGCTTCTCAAGGTCGTTCAGCACAGTATTTCAAACAGCTGAACAGACTGAACACTTATTATCTAATGATCTATAAGCAAAAACCCAACATTTCAGGACAATGTTTCTATAGCTTGTCACATTTTCTCCTAAAAATTCAAGTAATTTTTGACTTCTTCCTAATCAATTTTTCAATTTTCTCCACCAAATTTTTAAGTAAAATTGATGCTCCTGAAAAATATACCATGTTTACACTGAAACCTCTTGCATCTTCTTGCATATTTCAAGTAGCCAAATTATCAGTAATAATAAAAAGATTCCAAATTATATCTCAATTTAGGTGCTAACAATTATAAGGTGTATTATTAATGTATTATCAAAAAGAAATGTTAAAATTCTGTCAATTGACCTAGGACAAAACATATATTGTAATACTCATATCACTTTCAGAAATGAAAAACAAATCCAATGTTTACTTTAGAATATATGAAATTTACGAAAAAAAGATGGAAAAGGAGGAAGTGGAGGAATAGGAAAAGGCTGACATTTATCAAGCCTATTAGGTACTAGACACTATGTAAAGTACTTTACATAGATTATTTATCCGAATCCTTATAACAATCCTTTGAGGTTGGTACTATT